AGGTACACAAGGTGCACGTGCACACATACACGATCGCACCCCTGTTTTGTGCACACATTGATACAATTAGTATCTAGAACATACCTGCTTGTCCGCTGCAGCTCTCTCAGAGAGTTGCTCCAGTAAGCCGGTGATTGTTTCCTTCTTTAGCACGTTCAACACCGACTGGGTGGCAAAGAAGCGGTTCTGCAAATCTGTCAGATCAAGCATCACGGCGGGTGCGTGCCGGGAGTTGGCCGCTTCATAATGAGCTCCCTGTACTTGACCTGCGGTAGCGGCAGTGCTCCGGCCGCCCTTTTCTGCTGGCGCGGCGGTGGAACCTTTGTGTGACCGAGAGACGTCAGAGCTGCTTGGGGCGTGCGCCATCTTCTGCATTGGTACAGCTGAGTCAAGCTTTTCTAGAGCAGCCTTTAAACAGAGAAACCACAGATTGGAAACAAGGCGCACACAGAGAAGGAACATAATGTCAAGCAATTGTCAAGAAAGACTCGGATGGAGAGCCAAAGATTAAATTTAAAAAGAAGAGAACAAAATGTTACATGCATGTTATCCGTAGTTTGTGTCCAATACTAACTACGGATAACATGTCACATTTTGATCCTTTCCTTTTTTTAATTGTCAAGAAACAGACACAGTGCCCAAGAATTATGGTAACAAGAGCACAAACATAGAATAACAATTGGAAGCAGGGCTTAACTTGTATGACTGTCAGCAGCACATTCATTGTACAGTGCAACTCGGATAAGGGCCGTGCGGGGAAGAGAACAGTATACTTAGTATCCAATGTGCTTACATGGTATCCAATGTGTTTATTCTCTTAGTGGAATGACATGGGAGAGTAGTCCATAAAATAGTGTGGTTTTGACTCCCAGGCTCTCCATCCATTCCAGTCGTGCTTGGGGCAGGGTAAATTCAAACATGCTCACACGAGGCATCACTATCAAGGCTACCCTGGGATAAGCAGGGCGAGGTCACATTCATGATGGCAAGACATAGACCATGGACAACGCAGAACTTCCAAATCCGTGGGCAAACGCACATCGTTCGCTTACAGTACGATCCCGTGCTCTGTAAAAGTACACGAAACGAACTGTGTTCCACCCTGGGTTTGGAAGACCTACATGTACATGTTTCACGAAACATGTACATGTATCATGTATCTATCACAATTATTATGAACGCGACCACAACCGGTCGACTCCAAGAGTGGCCCAGACAAGTGATGCCATATGCTAGCATGCCTAAATTTGCCCTGCCTCAAACGCGTGTACAACGGGCAGCCCGGAATTCAAACGCACAGGATTTAGCGTTACAGTCAACCGTGGGCTCTCCGTTTGAGGTACATCTCCCTGATGCACGCGTACGATGTACAATGTACTACCGGTACTTACACTCAACTCCTTCATGGTGGCGTTAATTGCGTCACGAACACCGCGGTGTGCCTCGTCCACAACTTTGGCTTGGCTTGCTGCCGCGGACGGACGGCCGCCCGACCCAACCAGTGCCTTTCTGTTTGCGGCCTGCTGCTGGTCATGACGTGACTGACGAGCGGTGAACGTGGCACGGCGAGTTTTCGGCTCTTTGGGAGACTCCACGGCATTACTGTCTCTGGTAATGACCTTGGGTTTGCGTCGCAGTGAGGCCAGTGCTGTGGTAAGGTTCTCCTGTCGGGCCTCCAGCGCTGTGACCAGGTCGGGCACGTTTACGTAGATTAGGGCTAGAAGCTTTTGCACTGCTCTGACTTCACTGACAAACGATGTTGCAGGCGCTGCTTCGGTCGTCGCCAGGAACAGACCCAGTTGAATAACCAAGTCGTGGCAAGCACGTACCGGGAATTCCATTTTCGACGAACTCGCTTCGCCGCTGCTAGGATGCTGTTCGTTCGTCGTCCCATTCATTTTATCGTCCATCGAGCGTGCTATACCATCCAGGAGTGTGTGCAGGAAGGAAAGAAAGTGTATGTCCGGACTGAACTCGCGACCCAGCTTGGCGTAGCGAGGTACTTGCTGATAGACGGCAGGCAATTTGTCATCGTTGAGAGCGCGCACGACGTCTACACACGAGCTGAACTGACGTCGTTCGATCAAATCGTCCAGATGCTGCAGGGTATCGGAGTGCTGTCGCGGCTCCGTGGCTTTCTTCAAATCCTCGTCGGCCCGTGGCGATATCAAGGGGGATTTCGATGGAGGACTGGCTGCATTGCGACGAGTCTTTGGCGAGCCAGGCAGCGGAAGAGAGGGTAATTGTCGCCGCTTTTTCGACCGTTCGTCCGGATTCGTCTTGCTACGCGAACGAGATTGGCTTGACGGCGAGTCGCTGCTGCTACTGGGTGATGCAGATTTGTCGGCGCGGCGAGCCGAGCCAGGACTTGCGTCACCCAGCCATTTCTTCAGGCTCGGAGTGCGTCCCAACGGCATGGCGACGACGAACACACAAGAACAAGAAACACGAGCACTGCAGTGAGAAACGAATGAGCGAAGAAGATTCAGATGAAAGAGGATGGATGGATGGGAGGAGGTGTTCCAGTCCAGTCTACACTGCGCTGTCAACACCATGATGCACGAACAAAAATATTTTGACGGCCGGGACCATGGCATGGGGACGGCCAACGATAGTAGCGCTACCGGCCATCCATCATCATGATTGTAGATCATGGTAGATGATGTAGATCTACGTCATCTACATGATGATTGTAGATCAACATGATCCACGCGTACATCATGTAGATCCTAATATGGATTCTACAACTCCAATAACTGGACGGAAAATCCACGCTGTTTTACAATCTAAAGTAAAGTCTAAAAAGCCCTGCTATGCTGAATGACGAAAACAGAGGGTTTGGGGAACTACAGTAATGATTATTGTATTTTACAAACAAGGCCAGTAGGACTACTACAGTATTCACTTCGTTTTGGGTATGGGTTAGACATAGGGAAGTAGTTCACTGTACTCGAGTCCACAATACTATGACTGGAAGGTGGGGCGCAGCACACAAAGCTTTGTGAAACCTATAAAGGCAACTGACTGCGACTTCCGCAACGTACTCTAACCGACATATTACTTCTCCCCCGCCAGTTGAGGAAGAAGACATTAGTCAATGTAGCATTGACCATGGTGACGAGTTCGGGAGAAGACAGCGCGGCGTTCGCTCGGTTTTGCCAAAATGGGTCAGAACTACAGTGTTGCCAAGTAATTTCCGCCCAAAATCGAACACCATTTACCGCCAATTATCAGAAAATCCAGAATATCATCAGATTCTAAAATACGAAGAAAAATTTGCTTCTTTGCCATGTTGTCATGAACTAACACTTAAGTCTTTGTAACAGGGAGTCGCATTTTACGACTCCCTGCTTTGTAATGTATGAATGTACCCGTCCGTATTCATGGCCAGCATACACTGTCAGTATACTTGTACTTGTTGTACAGCCTACGGCTACAGCGCCACTGAACTAATACATGATAGTAGAGGTACAGTACTTCTAGCAAGAGGCAAGGATGAATTTATAGAAGAGAAAAATGACCAGGGAACTATCTGGCTTTCAGCTCTAGCACATCTTGGATGCGCACTCCAACAGCCTTCCAACTTGGAAAGGTTCTAACATTATAGGAGGGGAAGGTGAGAGCAACCAAGACAAGTACCATATGACCTGAAAGTCTCAGCTGTGGAGGACGCTGGCGGATGTACAACCATGTTGACGACGATCACCTTCCCTTCCGGTGGTGTCATTTACGTTAGAACCTTCCAAGTTGGCAGCAGCTGACGCGGAGTACGCTCTTCCTCTTTTCTGCACAGATGACCAAGCCCCTCCATCCGGCGACACACAAGACGGGTTGCTAGATCGTCTTGTCTGGCGGAGTTCCAGATTGCCAGAACCTCGGTGTTAGTCAAGCGGGATGTCCATACAGGTATGTCAAGTTGAGTGATGCCCAGCACACACACACACACACACACACACACACACACACACATACACACACACACACACACACACACACACACACACACACACACACACACACACACACACACACACACACACACACACACACACACACACACAAATGGACGCACATACACACACGTACACACAAACACACACACACACCACACACACAGGATGCAGATCAAAAACTAAAATGTTACATAAAATTGGGTTTCACAACACCTGTGAGTGTCCATGCGTTGAATCACCTGTAGTAGCTGCTGCAACCTGCCAAGCGAGTACAAGAAATCTAGTTTCCATGGCACTGGAATGGTACTACACTGTAGTATTCTTCTCACTCAATAGCCAAGGGTATTCAAACGATCATGTCTGGGGGACTAGTGTACAGGACACAGTGTATTTGTGCATTGTACACCAGACCCCCTCCCGCCTTTACTGCTTGCATCAACCTGATAACCAACATGGCTGCTCTAGTACTGGTGAGCCTTAGCAACATGGATCTGGCCTTAGCCACTGATGGACTGTTGGAACTTCACACTAAGAAAATATTGAAACTACCGAATGCCACACAATGACTGCTTACAAGAACCGGACACCAGTTTGATCTGATGCACATGTCCTACTGGGTCATGGTTGGCAGGAAGGGGGAGCCCTGCCGGAAAGCACAACGCTCAACACAGTGCATCGTCACAGCTGTTGTTTGATAGAAGTGATCACCACCAGATCTAGGTAAGCAAAGAACACGCAAAGAGCAGAAGAGAGCAATTTTAAGGAATGTTGGTTACAGTCACATGTTGTGACTCCCCTCTACAGTGTGTTTATGAATGGAATTTTACACCAAAACAAAACCTTTCACTTATGGGGGCCGGGGGGGGGGGGGAGGAGGAGGAGGGGGCGTCGAGGCTTGTTTCGTATGGAAAAAATCGGTAGCTGCCACATAAATGCATTCAGATGTTGTCAATATTTTTTTGTTCAGCAAGGTGTGTGTGTGGGGGGGGGCAGGTGGGTAGAGGGGGTTCGGTTCCTTAAAATTATCGATACACCATTCTATAAGAATCGGATCAAAATTATAAATTGGTTTTACTTACCAAAGAAGATTTGAGGATTAGCAGGTATGGCAGTGTATCCACATCCCATGGCTGGCTATTCGATTTGGATAGTACCTTGGTAGAGCTCAACGCACAATGGTAAGTAGCAAGGACCATGACAATAGCATGCAACCTTTCAGGATGCCGATGACTTGTTAAATATATTGGTTATGAGAAGACCTATAGATCGATCATGCGGCAGGGACGGTATTTGACGGTGCTCTTGACACGCATGTCCGCGTGCTTCGGAGGTCCGACACGATTGATGATCGTGTTGGATGATGTTGGATGTTGCCGGTAAGGTGTGAAGCTGTGCTCATGGCTACAAATGTGTGTAAGCAGGATTGCACCACCTGAGTAGAGAGACTGCAGACAGAAAGTAGGAGAAGCGACACAGTGAGAATGTTATAGCGCAAGCTAGATCTGAACACAACAGTTGCATGCTGTTGCCAGCACAGAGAGCTACCATATTTTACCGGTTGTAAGGCGACCCCAGTTATAGGTCGACCCCCGTATCCGGAGGTCTCAATTCTGCATTTTAAAGTGTTCACCCAAAGGAGCACTACTAACCACCTCCTGCTACTAACACATCAACAAATCATGTGAAAATTCCTTACTGGAGGGTTTAACGACCCAATGCTTGAAAAATGCCAATAAACTGGCAACAATGTGTACACATGGTGCACTCGTGCATGCAGTGCAGGTCATTTTTTGTAAGATACTGATAGTTCCCGGTTATAAGTCGAATCCCGGTTGTAAATCGACCCCCACCCTTTCTCCTTCTATTTTTAAGTCGTAAAAGGTCGACTTACAACCGGAAAAATACGGTACGTATGCTTGGCACGACTGAACGTCACTGAAGCCCGTGACAACGATGTTGTGATTACTCAGCAGCAGCAGCTTCATAATGCCGTTCGAGTTATTGCTCGAGTAAGTAATAGTAATTATGCATCGTCCAGAGAGTATGCATCTACATCACTAAGGATTGGAAATAGAAGTACCTAGGGACTTTCCCGAGTTGAGAACGTTTCCTGAAGTAACTCTAGTGCTTCATAAGTTTATGACTCGCAGTGCTATTCACAATCTAACGTGACAAGTCATAGGCGTATAAGCAGCAACATTCAAGTACAGTCGAATGTCACTTATCCGACCACTTCGGGAATCAGGCATGTTGGATAACTGATATTATTTTTTATGTGCATATATGGCTGAATTTCACTGATTTATGTACACAATACCCAAATATACCACATCTACTTCAAGTAAATGCATATTACACCGTATAATATACAATTTGAAACTCGGATGTTGAGCCATAAAAAAATGTAGAAATAAAAAGGACATATGGATACGAGTTAAGAGTAACTTTCCATCACTGTAACTGGATGCTATATACAGTCAGAAAGTGCAATAACTAGGCACAAAACTGACAGAGTACTGAGACATTCGACGTCCTGACACCTAGCTTCAACACATCTCCGTAGCGGTAACCGACAGCCTTCCAACTTGGAAGGTTCAAGGTTATGGAAAGAGCAAAGAGGGGAAGGCAAGCGCAACGAAAACGAGCAAAAGCTACAGTGCCAACGGAACAAAGAATGTCGATTGTTACTGGACGATGACGAGACCAGTACGATATTTGACAAAGCGGTCTAACTACAATTCGAAGCAGCAAAGCAACACACCACCCAACTTGGGGTCATAAATATCAAAGATAAGTAAAGGGGAAGCTTTGCGAAAACGAATTGTACAAGCCGAAAGCCAAACTCCTACAGTACTCCTCATGCATGACATTGTGATGGACTAGTTGACTACAAAACAAGTTGTTTCACACGACGTACGTTTCGCCGTATGGCTCGTGACGGCTCATCAGGTGTGCAATTTAAAACTCGGATGTTGAGCCATAAATACATGTAGAAAATATATAGTATCCAGTTACAGTGATGGAGAGTTACTCTTAACTCGTATCCATATGTCCTTTTCCTTTCTGTATAATAATTATACATGAACAAAAAAGTTTTATTTTATTTATTTTTTAGAATTTTACTGTTGAGATTCATAAAATTACCACTACCGGGATTGTCGGATAACCGACGTGCTAGGATAACTGGCGACCGGATAAGTGACATTCGACTGTACTGTGAAATCAACAGTCACTTATTGAACGTACTTACTGTAGTCTGGTGTAGAGGATTGTTTACAGAGGTGGAACGATGGATGTCCATATCATGTTCATGGTAGTGACAGTGACGGTGACGTTGGTGGGGGTGACGGCGACGGTGACAGTGGTGCTGGTGCTGGTAAAGCGGATGCGATTCAGCACACTCGTGTGAAACAAGACGGGAGTGGAGGACTTGCTCTTACTTGCCGAATAATGGGCGATGGAGATGTGGTCATGCAAGTACAGCACTCGCATTGCCGTTGTCAGCTATGCAGTTGGTGGACGACTTTCAATTGATCTAGTGTACAAC